CAGTAAGTCGAGGCTGCAAGTGGCCACGAATGTGGACTGCACTCTGGCCTGGGCGACAGAGTGAGACTCTGACTCAAAATAAATAAGCAAACAAACAAATAAATAACCTTCCTTAATTTAGCCATGAAAAAAGAAATGGTTTTTGGTTGGGCTTGGTTATTAAAAAAGATGCTGAGCAGCTGTTCTCGAATTTAAGAGAAAAGACTAAGCAGATGAGGTCAGCTTACAGAAGAGCACAGAGGGCTTAGACTAGGTATAAATAGTCTAACAGCAGTTGGATTTGTTTGAAGTGGAAGTGTTTTTCTCAGGCATATTATAGCATTTCTTCTAGGTGCTTTCAAAACTTAAAAATAGACTTTCATCATCTGTGCTGGGTTAGGCAGAGTCCTGCTGAAGATGTAAAGATGCTTAATTGAATGTTACCTCTGATGTTTACTTCTGAACCATGCACTGTACAGCCATTTGATAAGTCAGTCTGGAAATATTTATAGAATCTGAACTCCCCGTGGAGTGACATTGTCATTTTTAAATGTCTTACAGAATTTCAATATAACTAAAGAGGCAAGCTGGCACAGGAGTCATGCGTTAAAGCCTTCATAAGAGGGCAACACTCTTTTGGGTCCCCTCCAGCTGCCAGTTTTCCTATCTTCTAATAAAGTCCTACTTACTCTGAAAAAGGAAAAAAAAAAGCCTTCATAAGAAAAACTCCAACTTCCTACAGTTGTCAATTTCTAAGTCAACTGTAGTAAAGTTTCTTATTTTACTTCTGAAAAGTAGACATTTCTCTACACTGACCTGTCATATGTAAGTAGGTTGCTTGACATGGAGTTCGTAGTGAATGTCAGTGTGTCTGAGTTCAACATTATCTAGTGTCAAAATTTTCACGGAAACGCAGCACTACAGTGGCTATGTGTCTATGTATGCAGGTAGCTTGGCAGGACCACTGGGGTTCTACAGAAGGTTCCCTCTACATCTGACAGTGACATTTTGCCCAGTTCCTTTATTGCTTCTCCACTGTCATGACTGCTGGGCACCCACGTGCCAGGCGCTGTTCTAGGTGCTCTGGGTAGCTAGGCTCACGTGAGTCTCCTCATAACCCCTTGAACACACACCTTCACATCCCCACTTAACAGAAGATGATCCCTGTCCAGAGAGGTTGCGCCTCTCTCCTGGGGACATGGAGGAGTTGGCGGCAAAGCCAGCACCTGTATCGTTGCACCCGGGATCCATGATCCTGCCTCCCTGCAGGACTGCGACTCCTTGTCCACCAAGCTGGCCGTGCTGGAACAGCTGTCTCTGTGCCGCTTATTTCCCCACTAGGAAAAGAGAGTTCCATAGGTGGAACCTGTAAAGAATTACAGAGGATTTCTTGTGACAGTTCATGTGGATTGCAGTGAACGTTTCTTGACTTATACAAGTTAGCATTGGGAGTGGATTTCATGCGGACTGTCTGTAATATGAAATGGTGCCTACTGGTCACTTTTTGAGCAGATTACAGAAAGGCAGTGACTTAACTCTCACAATCAAATCAGATGCCAAAGTCGGGGCATGTGTGTGAACCACCATGCACAGTAATAGGGTGACTTGGTGAAGGAGGGTGTGAGGGCAACATTAGAGATACCAGGGGGTGACTATGATTTTCTTCAGTGCTGGCTATTTAGAGAGCCCTAACTAGTTTGTGAAAGTTCTCTGGGCAGCTTATGATGACTGTGTGTGATGTGGAGGTTAGTATGATGTGTTTAGGAAACTGCTGAGGACAGGAAGTAACAGTAGGCACCGTCACACATACCTAGACGGTTAGAATTACTTGTATCAACAGAGCCATTTTCTTTTTTTTTTTTTTTTGAGTTGGAGTCTCACTCTGTCGCCC